AGGAAGGACAAAGAAAAAAGAGAAATCGATACGTGATCGTAACGTGATCTCTCATCCCACCGTGCTCGAGGAATCGTGGGAACGTGTTTGTTAAGTAAGAACATTTGAACGTATAATGAGTAATATAAAATTAATTCGTTTTACTTATAAAAAGAAATTAAAAAAAATTAAAAGAAATTAAAATACGCGGAGTCCGCAGGACGTAACAGATAAAAGAATTGCCTATTTTTCTTCTATACCGTCTCTCTGTTTATATCGCGTAGAAGTATCGCGGAAATTGAACTTAGTACATTCAGTCGCACAAAGTAGGTAGAATAGAATTAGTTATTTTAATATATTCAGAACTTTTCTGATTCGTCACGTTATAAATCAAGATGCGAAGTGCGTTAGACTCATTAGCTAAACATTTTCGCAGAATCGAATAGACAATGAGTTCATAAATGAATATCGCACCTTTTCTAATGCACTTCTTCAACTTCCGTCATGACTCTATGCTTTTAAGAACGTCATATATAAGATGCGCGCGCAATATCAGTATGAATTTAAAAACATTCTGTCGCGAGTGTTTCGTGACAATGGTTTTATAATCATATCGGTTGGTTTTTCACGTTTTCTGATATCATCGTTGAAAACAATATTTACCGTAAATATATACGCTTGATTATATCAAATCAATTATTATAACAAAAATGTCTTTATGAAATATAAAAGACTAACTTGTAATAGACTCGCATTATACAGAGTATTAAAAACAGAAATAATACTTGTAACATTTTGCTACTTAATTTTTTTCCTGCTTTCCTTAAAATCTATCGCGCTGCCAAGCAATTAGTCGATCCGATGACATCTATATTTTTATATTTTTTGTAATTTGTAAAAAAAGAAGTATCTGAAGCTAGTGTTTGAGATTTTTATTGTAAACATGAAGGATTATCTATTACAACAAATCGCATTTGAGAAACACGTTTCACTTCTGATATTCCCCTTGCGAGTAATAAATCCTTAGTAAACACAAGCTAAAAAATCAACTACAACGTTAAGAATTACAAACATTTTTCGATTTTGGTAACGCAAGTTATACATGTGGTTCTATTGATTGCACGCGATGAATAAACAAACGAATATTTTATCATATTAATACTATTTTATTATTGCTTTATTTCTAATAATTGTTCTATGTGTCTTCCTATTTTTACATTGCATATCCGAATGTTTTTTTTTATACGTAGAAGCGTGTAATTAGCTGAAGCTTTTTCTGAATTAGCTTTTTTGACACGTTTCTCATCATCTTATCGAAGGTAATGCAAAAATTTTCATTGTTTTTAAGGCAATATTCTTTATTGGTATTATCATAAATGACATAGCATCTTTAATCATGTTTTTTATAATATTTTGAATTTTGTTGCTATAAATGCATGGATTATATACAAGGAAGTTAAGTGTAAAAAAAATCAAGAAGAATCTTTTTACAAAATCTCGCGGAAGGATTGAGTGCTCCGTGTGTTGTCCAACGTCTGTGTAAGTCATGATGGCGCCCCGCCGCACTTCAGCCTTACTGTACGGACTCATCTAAATAATACGTACAGGAAGCAATGGATAGCGGGACTTGTCGCGTGGCCAGCGCGATCGCCCGACTTAATGCCCTTCGATCTTTTTCTTTGGGAACACGTGAAGAGTGTCGTATTACACAAATTAATTGCAGAGAGGACTTATTTGAGCGAATACGCTCTGCTTTTGTCCAAATGCAATAAAGATCTCAAATGTTCGATAGAGTCTGCCAATCGATGTTACGACGATGCCATGAATGCAATGAAATTTAGCGTAGACACTTTGAGCATCTTCTTTAAAGTATTAGGTAAATCGGAAAGTTCCGTCCGTTTAGCGACAAATAGCTATAGCTAGAACTGTCGTTAACCTGTAATGTCTAAACGAAGCTTAATAGTTTGTTTTGACATCTGTCAATAACATTCAGTACATAAAAGTATACGTTTGCATCAATAACATTGTTTTTCACTGCATCGAAAATGTCGAAATTTGAGCCAAATATGCGTCATTTGCGCGAAGTGTTAATCTTTTGCTTCAATTGGAAGAAAACTGCAGCTGAAGCTCATCGAATGCTTGTAGAAGTTTATGGTGATAATGTTCCTTCCGATAAAACATGCAGAGAATGGTTTCGGCGCTTTAAAATTGGTGATTTTGATGTAGAGGACAAAGAGCATTCTGGACGGCCAAGAGTATTTGAAGACGAAGAATTGCAGACATTGGTGGACGAAGACCCATGTCAAACGCAAAAGCAACTTGCAGAAGCATTAAATTGTGCTCAATCTGTCATTTTCAATCGTTTGGAAGCCTTAGGAAAGGTTTACAAGGAAGGAAAATGGGTCCCATATGAACTGAAGTCAAGAAACATTGAAAGGTGAAACACCATCTGCGAAATTCTGCTCGCTAGGCAACAAAGAAAGGAGTTTTCATATCGTATCATTACTGGGAATGAAAAATGGATTTATTTTGACAACCCCAATTTCGAAAAACTATTTGCGATCCCGGCCAATCCTCAACATCGATGCCAAAGCGGAATATCTACGGAAAGAAGGCAATGCTCTATATTTGATGGGATCAGAAGGGTGTGCTGTACCATGAGCTGTTGAAAAGTGGCCAAACAGTCATAGGGGATCTCTACAGAGAACAAATGATCCATTTGAGCCGAGCATTACACGGAAAACGACGAGAATATGAAACGAGATAGCATAAAGTGATTTTGCTTCATGACAACGTCACAAAATCTGTCAAGGGAACGTTAAAAGCACTTCGCTGGGAAGTGTTACTCCATGCGGCTTATTCACCAGACTGTACCCCTTCCGACTACCACTTGTTTCGGTCGATGGCACACACACACATTTGTTGACGAATGCTTCAATTCTTATGAAAACGTTGAAAAATGGGTCTCTGACTGGATAACCTCCAAAGATGAGTCATTCTTTCGCCGCGGAATTCGCTTGCTGACCGAAAGATGGGAAAGAGTCATCCCTAACGATGGACAATATTTTGATTGATGTACTTTTCCATTTTGTTTCTTAAATAAAGCCATACGTTTTGCAAGAAAACGGACGGAACTTTGCGATTGACCTAATATATATAATCGCTCTTTGAACAGTGGTTCTCGGTTATCTTAACTAATATTCCGATACGGGAAGATCTGGTGACGGGGAAGTACGAGGTGAAGGGGAAGATCGCAACGATGATGCTTCCGAAGAAGAGGAAGAATGAATGGGTATAAGGCCGCGAAGTAAGGCTGCGTGGAAACTACGTGTACCGCCTCGTAGAGGTGAGGTCAGAGGAGAAGCTAACGGAGATGGGCTCCATGGAAGAGGAGAGCTTGTAGGATATCGGTCATCTATGGGACTCAAGGGTGTCGGAGAGTAGGAGATAGGAGGAGTTCCGGGGAGAGATTCGGGTATGAACAAGAGAGGAGAACGAGAAAATCTTGAAATGTCTGTCTCTAGGTGTCGAACAACATAATCCAGTCGGTCTTGCACTGTTGTTGTTATGGATTTGATCTCGAAGTCTTCGCGGTCCGAGCAAAATTCGGTTTCTGATTGAACTTTGCGATTGACCTAATAAGTAAGGAGGTCATAATCGTAATCAATGTCACTTAAGACCTTCGCGGTCACGTAGCACCTAAACGACGCATCAGAGAACATAAGTTGTTTGACAAAAAATGGTCATTTATACAAGACCTATCGTCCCTCAAAGTTTGTTGCAGAGGTCCTGAATCACTCTGTACATATTAGATGTACAAATGAATAATCCAATTTTTTCAGCATTCAAGGTTTATTTTAAAAGAAAGTAAATTAAATTGTTCAATCAAAGTATTCGCAGTTGCTTTCTATAACTCTAAGCCATCTTTCAGGCAGGTGATGAATTCCATCTCGGAAAAATGTTATGTCTTTGGACACGATAAAGTCGTCAAGCCATTTTCGGATCTCATCCACTGATTGGAAGTGCATATCGGACAAGACGTGTTGCATCGACCGAAACAAGTGATAATCGGATGGAGCAATGTCTGGTGAATACGCCGGGTGCAAGACGTCCCAGCCAAGACTCATTATAGTGTCTTTTGTATTGGAAGCAATGTGTGGCCTGGCGTTGTCATGCGACAATTTCACTGGACGTTCTCCTTTGCCAGTATACGGGCGTTTTCGTTCCAATTCTTGACTCAAGCAGATTAATTGATGTTGGTAGCAGTCTGCAGTAACTGTTTCATCCGGTTCCAACAACTCATAACAAAGCACGCCCTTTATGTAAATAAAGTAAATATGTAAATAAAAATTAGAAATAACATCAAATAAGAGAATCAGCTTTAATGGTTATGATCTTGATATGTACTATTTATATAGAGGATATTTTCCTGAGTAATTTTAAAAGATTTCAGCCGCTGCTCATTGTTTATTAAAAAGTGGAATTAACAGACAAGTTTCATTAATAGAGCTTGTTTTTCTGACAATGTAAGTTAAAAATATATTAAACAGTACATATGAGATGTGATAGGAAGTGATAGGCTCGGCGGAGTTTTGAAAGGCGCTTAAGAAAGGTTATCTTGAAAATATATGTAGAGATTAAGATCAATGGAGATGGGTTCCCTCTTCGGTATATTTATCATAAAAAATTATAAAAGAATACAGCAGCTTACATTAGTTTATATCAGTTTATTAGATTTTTTCATTGCTTTGTTTATAATAAATGTCTGTGTATCCCTATTCACTTTCCATATACCTTAACACCTTCGATTTACAAAATCGCGAACTTTTCAACATTATAAAACTTATCTGCCTAATATGATATTTCGTTAATAATATTAGCAAGTTCATCGCTTTCCAACATCGTGAGATGATTACCTTCGACATGGCGGACTTGTACGTTACCTTTGGTTATCTAAATAAATGATTAACATTGTCGTCAATTGATTTTCAAAGATGAAATTTTCGCATTGTTACATATCATTACATCAAGGATACCTTGTTCAAGCCATCATTTTCATCCGCAGAAAGTAAATACGGCATTGTGGGTTTTAGTAACAATATATGTGATTTCAGTGGCGGCAGTAAAGACGCATTATACTCGTGAACAGCGATCAGATGCTTATAAATTGTCGTACAATAAGTCTTGTAATTTTCAACCAAAGTCATTTGTATAATATCGTCTGGAAGACATTCGATAAAAGCATCCAACTTTTTCTCCCACGTGTCGTGCTTGGACAATTCTATTAGAATCTGTTAACAATTATTGTTATTATTGTATTTTATATTACAACAATAAACTCATTTTACACAACATACCGATATATTATCGTTAGAATAAAATAAATCCATAAGATTTAGGAGAATATTGTTCTGAAATTCCTGGAGATTGGTGAAAGGAAAATGATGTTCTTTCATAGTTTTCATATAGTCAGGTGTGCCATCGATTAATACTAAATATCCTGTGAAATTTCTGGCTTCCAACAGTCTCATTACCTCGATAGCAATTAATGTCCCATATGAGTACCCAACTATTATGAATTCTGTAGAATCCCCTATCTTCGATATTATATACTGTAGGAAAGATACAAGAAGTTTTTTGTATTATTTTTTTAATCGATATAATACGATATCAATCTGGAATGGATTTATTGAAATATCGAACAGACACCTTCTCTGTTATATTAATACGTACAGGTATTAGAGTGGCAGCTGACTGCAGCACGGATTCGCTCATGGGAATATTATTTGCTCCGTGTTGCAAACATGTTACGGGACTTTTAATTTTCGAGGCCAATGAATTAAATGTGCTTGCGCAACCTTCGATTCCTGGTAGGAGAAATATCTGCTTTTTGCCCGTCTCCTTTCTCGTAGTCATCTCCATGCAAACATCTGGTACAATATCTAAACTGCTCAATAAATGAATCAAAAATTTTACACCTGCCGAATCGAATATCTCAGTCTGCTCGAAACGCTTGTCTTTGTCGGCCATATTGCGGAGTTTCTCGAAAGTGAGACTTCGAATGTCTTGTGCCGTGAGATAAACATCAAATTCTCGCTCCAACGTTTGCTTGATCTCCACCGCCATCATCGAATCCATACCAATCTCTGACAATGGGGTACGATGTCCGACCGTTTTCACGTCTTTTACTCCTAGACGGGCAAATACGGAAAAAGAAAAGGCTCTCAATTTCTAGACACAGTCGCTTATATTCATTTATGACAAGAAAAGGCACGAAAAAACAAAACATTCAGACCACATATAGAGGAAGCAATGTATAATTAACCATAATTCATTAGCTATATCTTCAATGTTTCATCGCGAAAATCTCGAAACATGCAACAAATTTATTATACAGGGTGTGGCAAAAGTCTGGAAACACTCAAATATCTCTTAAAAAATGAATTTTAGAAAAAAACGTTTCAGACAAAAGTTGTAAGGTTTAAAAAGACGCATTCAACGGTAATATCCGCTTGACCTTGGATGGCGTTGCCAAGGTCAGGTCAAGGTCAACCTGATATTTGTAAATGGAATTTCTCACTGTACCCGGCGGTACGCACTCAGACGACCGATCGTAACCAAACTGAATCAATATCCACAAAACTTATGTATGGGCGGGAATAGTTGGAACGTACATAATATGGCCATTCTTCATTGATTGAATTCTAATGGCTGAAAAGTGTGCTGCCATGCTTCGAAACGATATTATTCCTACTATTCCCAATATTTTTGGTTTAAATTTTAATACAGTTTGATTTCAGCAGGATGGTGCCCCTCCACATTTTGCATTGCAGATACGACAGTTTTTAAACGACACTTTTTCTGTAAGAGTGGATAGGAAAGAGGGGACCAATCGAGTGGCCACCCCGATCACCTAACATGAATTCCTTGGATTTTTTCTTTTGGGGTTATTTAAAAGATCGCGTTTACAAAACAAAACCTTAAAATTTGCATGATTTGCGACACCGAATTACCACTGAAGTGGCATTAATTACCTCCAAAACATTGGAAAATGTTAGTAGGAGCTTTCATGATCGATTGCTTCAGTGTTAAGTTGAAGAAGGCCAACAATTTGAATATTTATATTTGTAGACGCATACTCAGTCAATCGTTCACTCACTCACTTTTTTACACACGCACGCACACACACACGCACACACGAGATGTAAATCCAACCGTGCAACGTTCACGCGGTACATCTTGAGTAATGCTAATGTCGGCGATACTGCAACATTCGTGCCTCATAACTCGGAAAGTACTTAACGAAAAGAAACTTTGTTATAGTGTTTTGGAAAGCTCTCGATGTAAGCTACAAGAATATGTAATAAAAAGTAGGGGATTTTATTTACAAACATCAGGTTGACCTTGACCTGACCTTGGCAGCGCCATTCAAGGTCAAGCAGATATTACCGTTGAATGCGTCCTTATAAACCTTAAAACTTTTGTCTAAAACGTTTTTTTCTAAAATTCATTTTTTAAAAAATATTTGAGTGTATCCAGACTTTTGCCACATCCTGTATATATAAAAAGAATAAGATTACCCATGATACTAGCTACGGTCTCCAAAATGTCCATCACTCCACCTAATTCCGCACGCTTCTCAGCCACGACCATACTGCCCACGATCGGTCGATTTAGTATCATAAAAGTGTCCAACGACTCAAGGCAGGACTGAATTTTCTGTTGCAAAGTACCGCCGATAATCAGTTCCTTGTTATCCTCTTGCATATCGGCCACGAGGCCTACATCACCCACTGCACCCCACTGTATAGCCATCCCAGGTAATCCGTCCTGTACTCTCCTCTCACATATCCTCTCCATGATAGAATTGGCCATACCATAATTTGTTTGCCCGACGTTTCCTCGGCCACACGAGACAGATGAGAAGACGATAAAATGCCGGAGGTCAGGACACATCTTTCTGGATAGCTCGTCCACCATCTTTGTGGCCATTGCCTTCGGCTTAAATGATTCTTCGAAGGACTCAGCGGTCTGATTCTTGTAAAAAGAGTCTTTCAGCACCACGGCAAGATTGAATATAGCGTCCACCGATGCCATTTCAGCAGCAGAATTCAAAATGAACGTACAGTCCTTGCGATCGGACGCATCAGCACCCGCGATAATTTGCACATTCACCCCGTAAGATTTCCACAGTTCTATCCTTGAGCGCTGATAACCGTTTCGCAGTCCAGTCCGCGAAGTTAGAAGAAGATTCTTTGCTCCGCGAAGAATCAGCCAGTCGGCTAATTCCAGACCGAAGCCGCCTAGGCCGCCTAAAATGACGTAAGACTTGTGAAACTTGCAGAAAAATCGAGGATAAGCGAGAACAGGAAGACCTAACGGCTCGTTCTCATCGTGTATCCTTATTAGGATCTGAAAATAAGAAAAGTAATAGTAGAATTTCACATGATCGTTCACGAAGCGCCAACAATAAAGACAAGAAATTTTAGTGTGTGCGAGAAATTACCTTTCCTATATGCTTACCAGCTGCCATGTATCTAAAGGCAGCTTCTACTTCAGTTCTTTCAAACACTTTCCTCGGAAGTGGTTTTATCGAGCCATTTTTCAGACCTCGCAGCATATATTTATATACAATTTCGTTATTTTCCGTGGTGGAATTTACTATATTGTCTAACATAATCGCATGGAAACTGATGCCTTTTGCAAAAATCTTTCTGTCTAGGGTATTATCGGCAATCAAGTCATATTTTCCTATTTCTAAGAATCGTCCGCCTTTCGCCAAACATCGAACAGACGCTTGAAGTTTCTCTTCAGCTAAAGAATTTAACACAATATCTACTCCTCGACCGTGTGTCTGCTCAAGTATCATTTGTTCGAAACTTATGTCGCGAGAATTGCCGATATGATCGTCAAAGATCGAAGGGAAGGTTTCTCTAATGAATTGTCGTTTCTCCAAAGTCCCGACTGTCGTAAACACTTCGCATCCTTCGTAAAGTGCCAGGTGGATTGCCGCTTGACCAACGCCGCCGGTGCCCGAATGAATGAGAATTTTGTCTCCTTTCTTCATCTTTCCTTTCTCGTAGAGAGCGTAGCAGCTTGTGGCATAAACACATGGAACAGTGGCAGCGTCCTCGAATGTCCATTCATCGGGAATAACCCAAGACAGAACGTGGTCATGTATTAGAACATTTGATATTCCTCTAGAAAATAATAAGCAATTTCGCTTATTTTAACGTTGTCTTTCAATCATGTGAAAATTGGCATCATAAAAAAATTAATAATGTGTCTGCATTAGTACAAAATCTAAAGTTTAATAGAATAGTATCGTTATAAAATGTGTATTTTCGATATAATAATAACAAGTTTTAACAAATAACATTTCGAATTATATTATCTCACCTGTCGGAACATATTGCCATCATTCTCTGTCTAGACCCATTATAACCAACAAGCTCAAAGCCTAAGAAAGAATCAATATCTCGTCCAATCATTTGAAAGGATTCCAACGCCATTTTGCCAGTTGCTATCATAACATCTTTGAAATTCAGTGTCGCGTAAATTGTATGTATAACATTTTCACGCTTAATTTTGGGAGATATCTGTCCTTCGACCCAGCGGAATGTGCTCATATCACCCCGAATCTAGTAAAAATTAAGTTAGTTTTATAACTTCGTACTATCGTTAAGATAAAAAAAATTTTTGCTTGTATAGTAATGTATTTTATTTGAAATGAATTGAATTATTTCAATATTTTACCGCGCAAGATTTAACAATGTTTTACGTAAATTCCTTTCCGTGCCGTTCTTGTTGTCGTGAATGTTTACATACCCCCTGAGCGACGTAACCGCATTGCACAGGTACCAGTTTCGGCGGCGGTAATGATAAATGTCTGTAAGAGCCCCAAATATTACCGGGACGTAAAACATTAATTGGTAAATCCAGTCGTAACTGATTCATGTAGAAAGGCTCTTGCAAGGAGAATTTTGGCGCGTCCTTATCTTGGATGAAGACGCATCTAACTGATTCGCCGCCTGGCTCCCTTCGCAAACAATTTACAAACCCTAATATACCGCAATCAGAATCGTCTTCAGCAACGAGTGTTATTCTTGAATTCGCCCCGTCGTCCGCGTCCATCGCAGATTTGAGCTTATCGATCCATGAAAATTCGTAATTGTTTATGTGTATGACTTCTCGTCTCGTTATGGCGTTTTCCGCCTTTCTCAAAAGCAGCACTGTCTCTCGTTCTGTGCGTTTTTCCAAAATGATATTTAAATTGTACTGTTGCAGTAGCTCGTTGTCATACGTGACGTTGAGATCCTCTCGAATAAATAGAAAACCACCAGACATTATATTGGATAATAAGGTGCGTGCACCTTTCGTCAATATCCCGACGCCAATGACCATTAAGAACGTATCGCCATTCAATATTTTGTGAGGCTGTATGACTGATAGATCTTGAGGTAAGGAGGAGCTGTCAAATCTGTTCTCCTTTGCAATTAAGGTGAGATTAGGTCGCACTAATGGCAAGTTGCTTAGAACCATGTGAACGATTGGAGTAACTAAATCCTCCAGCAGAATCTTGTCGTCGTCCTCAACGATCTCAACTACTTTGACGTTTTTCAAATCGTAACATTCAAGAGCAACATGTACCGATAATTGCACTGCATCTTCCAAGGAGATCGTGGTATGATCGCGGTAAGCAATGAACTTGTATTCCTCGTGTACAGGTTCAACTTGTGCTGGCCGGCGGGATATGACCATGGACTTTAGTCCACAAATTTCTATTCCTCCGGATACAATAGCTTCGAAAGAATCATAAACGTGTACAGGTACGTCTGTAAAAGATGAGCATTATCGAGGTGAAAGAGAGGAAACCTGTACAATGAGCGCATTAAGTCGGAATATGAAAGAGCCTCGGCAAGCCCCATACAAAAAATGCCCGTTTTCGGTACCTCGATTTTTGAAACTTTTTTTATGCCAAATGGTTACTTATGATGACCCAAAAATCCCTGCAAAATTTCAAGATGAATTTTTAAAATTTGACTTCAGATTCGTAATCAGCAGCTAAAAATCTTAAAAGAACCATTTCGGCTGAATTTTTTGGACATTATTATTGGAGTATAAATGTGAAGCTGCTATATTTTTTAATTGGACATGGTCAACTTTGACCCCTTATATTTCTTAAACGGGGCATATGCTCATCTTGAAGTTTTGCAGGGATTTTTGGGTCATCATAAGTAACCATTTGGTATAAAAAAAGTTTCAAAAATCGAGGTACCGAAAACGGGCATTTTTTGCCGATGTTCTTTGTTTTAAAAGTAAACTAAGCAGACTTACATCTTTCCTCCATTGAGAGTTTACGTATCAGCGTCATATGATGTTCGGGATCGATTACTAATTTGCGAATTTGAGTCGGTACGTAAAGATTTCTCGAATCGAGCGACAGAATTTTCATTTGTAGCATATTATCCATGAACGACACCCATTTCGTCGACCACTTGATATGCCCTACGCTCCCATTAATTGAGGCGCTCTTCAATGAGCGAAACAAGTCTATATACTGATAGCCCCGAAGTCGTAGTTCCTTGTAAATATCTGAAGTGTTCATGCACTCTTCAGCATTGTCATCTTTAGATAGAAACTGGATAGGTATTTTCTCATTCGCAACATCGTCAGGCACCCTCACGATTCCACTGACGATAACATTGCCTCCTTCTATAATTTCGAAATTATTACTGCCTGTAAGAATATTACAAGAATTATTACAAGACAATACTGCTTTTTCTGAAATCAATATTGCCGGTTTGTTTTTTGTTAAGAGTTTAATATCGCTGCGACTTCGCGATGATATTCCTTTATTTCTTATTGTCGGTTGTATACAGTTAATAATTAATATTTTATCATAATATCCCTGAAAGAAAATATCGAGAGACGAGGCTCTAGTAATTGCAAAAGTATTTACATTCTTGGATCACAAGAGTTAATTCCACTTTGTCTTTTTTCGATAAGTGAGTAGCACGTAGGAATTTAACATTTTCAAATACAATTGGTATATTCCTATGATCAACGCCTTTCAACAAGCCAATTGTATGCCAAATTTCGTAAAGGTAACCCATAGCCGGTAACAAATTTCTTCCATCGATTATGTGACCAGACATATATTCAAAGTCTTCGTCAGTGGTTGTAATAGTGACGACTCTTTCCTTGTCCAAAATTCTATTTTCGCCTCTATAATGGAATAAGTAATAATCCTCAGAGTGGTCCCATCTGCAATATTGTCTTCGAGTTAGTCATAATAATGTAAACAAAGAAATGTGATTCGTTTGTTGATACGCAGTAAGAGACGTACCTAATGAGAGGAGATATCATTGGTGTTCCGCGACTAACAGGAAATTGAACTGGTGCATACAAATGTGCAACCTGTGGCTGAAGTCCTACATTATAAAGGTCTCCGATTCCTTCTAAAAAATCTTGTATAGTATGCTTCTGGCCGCGTTTATACAGTGAAATCAACGTCATCGTTGACTCCAGCGAATTTGCTATGGACGACTGAAAATCATTGTACGGCACTGTTGATAGTATATCGACGAATATCGTATCTTTCGGTAAGAAAGCTGCCATTTTTTTTGATAATATTGGATATAGTATACTATCCGCGTAATATTCTGCAGCAGTTTCGGACATGTCGCGTTCACTACGTGGCCTGCCCGATTGTGTTACATTGTGGCGTTTTGAAAGTTGCGATGGTAATATCTGGCTGAAATATTCCAACAGTTTTGATCTAACAATCCCAAGGTACTTGGATCGATTCTCAGTAATGTCACCAACCTGAGGAACAGTGATTAATACTATTATGCATGGCTTTATAAATGTATAAATGGGATATCTCTCTCCACTAAGAAAAACGAAAAATAGTAATTAAGAAATTCTAAAATCTTTGAAACCTGCAACTTGGCCTGCTCAAATGCCGTGCCTATATAATACGCCGCCAAAATTGTTTCCTCGGTAGTAAAACGTCCATCAACGTATTCACAGATAAGTTCACCAATGGAGTGACCTATCGTATAATCGGGCAGGACACCAATGTGTGTCAAGAGATCCACTATTCCAATCTGCAATGTTGTTTGTAAAAGTACTCGCTTTTAACTAAGGTGTGTTACATCATATGTTTACGTGATTTTATATAGGTAAATGCCTATGTACATATACGCATTATATACGTACATGTACCAGATATGTAAATATGAAACCGGAATTTTTGTATAGAAAATACACGTTTATTGTATGAAAATGATAAAAAATATTTTATTCGAATTATTGCCCATCGCTAGCTATATATTTTTCCCACCTGTCTGACAATTTGTGGATGCCACGCCAAAAAAACTGTTGCTCTTTTGAGGCAAACTAGTCATCGAGCCATTTTCGTACATTTTCGTAAGAAGTGAAGCGCTGCTCAGCAAGTGCGTGTCCCATCGATGCAAATAAGTAATAATCGGACGGAGCCAAGTCTGGTGAGTAAGTCGCATGCGAAAGTATTTCCCAACTAAACGCTTCAATCGTTTCCTTGACCAGTTTTGCTGTGTGTGGTGGTGCATTATCATTAGCATTATCATTATCATTAAGCAAAATCACTTTGTGTTGCCTTTTTTGATATTCTGGTCGTTTTTCACGCAAAGCTTGATTCAAATCGATCATTTGTTGTCGGTAGCGTTCAGTATGAACGATTTCGCCAGGTTTTAGCAGCTCATAATAGATCACACCCTTCTGATCCCACCAAACACAGAGCATTATCTTCCGTCCATAGCGATTTGGCCTTGCAGTCGATGTCGATGATTCGCCTAGAACCATCCACCCATGATCTTTTACGCTTAGGATTCTCAAAATATATCCACTTTTCATCGCCAGTCACAATTCGATGGAGAAATGACTTTCTTTTGTACCTGGCAAGCAGCATTTCGCAAGTAGTTTTTCGGTTTTCCTGCTGTCTTTCATTCAGTTTATGTGGAACCCATTTTCCCATCTTCTGGATCTTTCCCATGGCTTTCAAACGTATGGAGACGGCTTCTCATGTCACATTTAATTGATCCGCAAGTTGTTGTTGCGTTTAAGCGTCATCCTCATCCAACAATGCTTGCAATTCGCTGTCTTCAAACTTTTTCGGTGGTCTTCCACGTTCTTCGTTTCTCAAGTCAAAATCGCCAAGTTTGAATTTTTTAAACCACTCAAAGTACTGTGATTTACCAAGAGCATGCTCACCGTAAGCTTCGACAAGCATTCGATACGATTCTGCAGCAGTTTTCTTCAAATGGTAGAGAATAGTACAGAAAATCAATGCTGTCCGCAAATCGTAGCTTCCAGGCACAAAATTCGACATGTTCAACGCTATTACAAACTATGCTGTTGTATGAAACTTGTATTGTTGTGAGTTGAAAATCTTTGTCAGATGTCAACAAGTGGAAATGGCGCCAATGACGCGGTTTAACTATTGACAGCTAGGGCCATCTATGAGCAAATTCCGGTTTCATATTTACAGACCTGGTATATTTAGATAAACCAGATTCGGACCAAATAGTTAAAATGTAAAACAAATAATCTTTCTTTCTTATACCTGTGTGGCAATGGTTGCGACGCACGAATTTTTTATGCTGTTGAAAGTAGTTTTGTTCCCATTCATTATAATATCCGTGACGCATATATCATGCTGCTTTAATGTTTCATTACATTTCTCAATTGCCTTGGCAAACACAGGTAGTTTCATCAGTTCTTCGATATATCAAAATGAAACGTAAGTGAGATTTTAAAGGCATTGCACACATGAAATTGTACATATATTCATTAAATTTATTAAATTTATTAAAGTTGCAAAATTCGTACCTACGTTATGCCATTCAATTTCTGTTCCCGAGAACAGAAAGCAAATTGGTCTTTTTAAGTATGGGTAGTTTTCAACTTGTCTTATTTTGTTATAAACAGCTTTAGATCCAGCTAAGGTATATCCTCTGTACGGATGGCCCTCAATATCTACAGTATGAATGCTATGCAGAAGAGCCACATATTCCACATCTAGCTGTCGGCTATTCACCTACCACACCAGAGTCGGAAATATACATCTTATCGCGAAAAAAATTATTTTAATCTTGAATAATCTCTACTTTCTAACTTGATTTTGAAAAGTATATTTTTAGTTAAACTTACATCATCTAATAAAGTTTTAACAGCCTCCTCCGTACGACCAGATACCGTTACAAGTCTACATAAACCGTCTGATGTTTCAATGTTGATTTTGTTTTTGGGATTTGATTTCAGCAATATGTGACAGTTTCCACCACCAAATCCGAAAGAACTAATGCCGATATAACCGCCGTTCCATGAAATAGGTTCAGTGACGACCTTTATTCTACCTTCAATTATAGGAGTAAGTTCCTTTCGCGGTGTTTCGTAGTGTATGATTGGTGGAATAACGCCAATTTCCATCGCTATTAACACCTTGAAAACGTTAAAATTTAACACACATAATCTTAATAGAAACGACAAAATCTTAGCTGCAAGCATGAAGAAGTGACAAAATACAAATTATATGTATACATATCTATATATTAGGTGTACAAATGAATAATCCAATTTTTTCAGCTACATTCAAGGTTTATTTTAAAAGAAAGTAAATTAAATTGTTTAATCAAAGTATTCGCCGTTGCTTTCTATAACTTTAAACCATCTTTCAGGCAGCTGATGAATCCCATTTCGGAAAAATGTTATGTCTTTGGACATGATAAAGTCGTCAAGGCATTTTCGGATCTCATCCACTGATTGGAAGTGCATATCGGACAAGGTGTGTTGCATCGACCGGAACAAGTGATAATCGGATGGAGCAATGTCTGGTGAATACGCCGGGTGCAAGACGTCCCAGCCAAGACTCATTATGGTGTCTTTTATATCGGAAGCAATGTGTGGCCTGGCATTGTCATGCGACAATTTCACTGGACGTTCTTCTTTGCCAGTATACGGACGTTTTCGTTCCAATTCTTGACTCAAGCAGATTAATTGACGTTGGTAACAGTCCGCAGTAACAGTTTCACCCGGTTCCAATAACTCATAATAAAGCATGCCCTTGATATCCCACCAAATGCAGAAAAGAACCTTCTTTCCGAAGCGATTGGGTTTTGCGACCGATTTTGATGATTCGCCGGGATTTACCCATGACTTTCTGCATTTCGGATTGTCATAGAGTATCCATTTCTCATCGCCCGTAATGATTTTCCACAAGAAAGACTTTCGACGCTGCTTATTGAGAAGAGAAAGACACGCTGCCACTCGTTGATTTTTGTTGGTTTCAGTGAGTTCATGCGAAACCCATTTTCCTTCTTTCTAGATCTTTCCCATCTCATGTAAGCGTTTGGAAATCATTTGCTGCGTTACTCCCAACTGTTCTGCAAGCTCATTTTGTGTTTGTGCCGAATTCTCAGCGAGCAGTTGTTCCAAATCATCATTATCACACTTCGGAGGGCCTCCAGGGCGTTGTTTGTCGATTAGATTGAAATTACCGCTTTTAAACCGCTTAAACCAAAATACGCACACATTGTACGATACAATACCTTCGCCGAGAAAGAAACAAATCGATTCGCACGCTCTTGCAGCATTTTTTCCTTGTTGGAATTCGTAAAGAATGCAGTGTCGGATATGCACCTTATCTGTTGTCATTTTCGACTGTACTGAACTGAATACTTTTGAAGGTTATGTTGGGCCTTTCGCCAAACTATATGTTCTTTTTAATAGCTATATGTCAACATTGCATAATCACAAAAGAGCGGAAAAATCTATTCAATTTAAAATTGATTTCATAACTGCTTAAAATAATTTGGATTATTCATTTGTACACCTAATATATGGGATACTTAAGGAGATCATTAATTATTTGACTGCGTGACAAGCTGGATTTCACAAAAATACTTAATAAAACAGAAATTGATTTGCTATAGTTAAGCAGAATCGCTAAAATTTTATGAGAACAGATTTTTTAGGTCACTGTATACAAACATGAAGGCACAATTTTTCAAATCCTAAGCAGTGAAGTCAATATAGCGTTTAAAACGACCATTTTATGATATCAAAATATTAGGTGTATGAATTAATTCGGTCCATCTGGCGGTCAATTGCTGTACTATATAATTTTCTAACCTCTAATGTCTGCAAAAGGCTTTATTTTTTAGTTTTGATATCTGGCAATAATATTCAGTTGATAAACATTTGGGTTTGTAACAATAACATCGTGTTTATCTGATTCGAAAATGTCGAAATTCGAGCCAAAAAAGCATCATTTCCGGGAAGTTCTCATTTTCTGTTTTCATTCGAAGAAAACAGCCGCTGAAGCTCATCGAATGCTCGTAGAAGCTTATGGTGAAAGTGCTCCCACCGATAAATCATGCAGAGAATGGTTTCGATGTTTCAAAAGTGATGATTTCTGTGTCGATGACAAACCTCGTCCAGGTCAGCCGAAGAAGTTCGAGGACGAGGAATTGCAGGTGTTAGTCGATGAAGATTCATGTCAATCGCAACATGAGCTCACGCAATTGTTGAATGTTGATCGATCAACAATTTCTGTGCATTTGGCAACTATGGGAAATATTTACAAAGAAGGAAGATGGATACCATACGAAAGAACTGAAAGAAAGAGGCATCAAGAGGCGAAAAGCCATGTCAGAAATCTTGCTTGCCAGGCAAAAAAAAGATTTTTTGCATCGTATTGTGACTGGAAACGAAAAGTGAATATATTTCGATAATCCCAAACGAAGGAAATCCATTAGCGACCCAGGAAAACCATCCACATCGATACCAAAGCGGAATATTCACGGCAAGAAAGTAATGTTCTGTATATGGTGGGACCAGGAGGGTGTAGTGTATCATGAACTATTAAAACAGAGCCAAACCATCATTGCCCAACTTTACCAACAACAATTGATCTGTATAAACAACGCATTGAAGAATAAACGGCCGAAATATGCAAAGAGGCACGATAAAGTAATCTTTCAGCATGATAACGCTCGGACATATGTTGGAAAGATTGTGAAGGCCACCTTGGAAGCATTTGGCTGAGACGTTTTACCTCACTCGCTGTATTCACCAGACATTGCTTTATCCGATTATCACTTGGTCAGATCGATGACATACGAGCTTTCGGACCAGCATTTCAACAATTATATAGAAATAGAGAAATGGCTCAATGAATGGATCGCTTCGAAGGACGAATCGTTTTTCCGTCACGGAATGCAACAACTACCAGACAGATGGGAAAAAATAATAGCAAGCGATGGCAAATATTTTGATTAGTGTACTTTTTCATGTTTTTTCATACTAAAGTTTTTTTTGGAAGAAAAAAACGGACCGAATTAATTCACACACCTAATAAAAGTGAACATGTATATGAAGAAAATTAAATATTGGAAATATTTCTACTTTCAAGTAGAAAAGTTCTTATCTAAAATCTATAAATTGTAACAAATAAAATACCAAAGTAACGAATAAGTATAATTTATGATGATAAGTTATATGGTATGAGAATAAATTTTCGATCATTTATATTTGTTTGGTCATTTATATTTGTTTGTAGATTGGCTCTCTTGTATTTTTATTTTAAACTTTATTATCTAATAGAGTGACTCCAAAACTCTTTGAATGTTCAATTTCGGAAATATCAAACTACCAAAAATATCAAAATATAGTATTATATCCTTCACTAGTTTGTATTATTTTTTGTGTAGTCTTGAGTTTCCGCCAGTTAAAGTATTAAAATACCTACTTTAGCTATTTGACAAAGACCACTAGTAGGTTCCGAATGCCCGAGATTTGACTTCACCGATCCCACCAACAAAGGAGTAGTTCTCTTTGAACATAAAGCCTGATCAATGGCATTAATTTCTATCGGATCTCCTGCCAAAGTACCAGTACCGTGGGCCTCTAAGTAGTACAGCTCTTCGGGTTTGATGCCGCAATCATCATAGAAATCTTCCAATAATTTCTTTTGTATGCGCAATGAAGGAAACGTAATCCCCTCTGGCTTCCAACCATCGCAATTAGTTTTAGAGTAGATCAAAGTAGCATAAATTCGTTTCGCGTTCTTTGCTTTCTGCAGGTACACTACTGCGATTGTTTCACTGCGCATATAACCGGTACCGGTAGCATCGAAAGGCTTGCAATAACCATCAACGGAGAGGACTCCTGAAATTGTTCAATCGACTAATAATAAAGTATTCTTTCGTTGGGTTATCGTCATTATTCTCTGTACTTAAATCAGTGAATAAGTTATTGATTCCATCAATGACATCTGACATCGCTAACGAATCAGTGAAACAGTGCCAAACGCGCTGCGCAATGAGCAAGACCGATAAAATTCATTGATTCATTAGCGGTATATCATTATTATTAATCTATGTTATCAAATTCTGTTTCCAAACTGCCGCCAAATACGCAATAGAGCTTGCCGCAAGTTATCCGGCAGCAGACCTTGACCCCAAAACGAGCTGAATGTAGACACAGATGGCTATGGTTTTAATATGGGTTTTTCATTGTAATTGCTGCAAATTTGCGGTCAATTTTTTACTGGACCAGTGAAGAGATTTATACTATCTTCATTATTGGTAAGTACATTGATAAGTAAAGTTTTTACATTATAGAAATAAAAACTAATATTCGCATGTTCTTATGCAGTATATATTGCATGCATGTACCAATCAAGATTAGATTATATAAGAACTATCAGATAAGTTTGAATAGTTGTATAATCATATAGATAAATAAAATTATCCAAATCGTTCTTTTTATATAAATGTAATTGGTTAGTTTTTTTATACATATGGTTACGTAACTAGACAAGTTTGTTTGAACAAACTCTAACGACGTGATAGGAAAGCTCTTGTGTGTATCATTATTTTATTTCAGCATAAAATGGTAATTAGTAAGGTATGGTAAGTAGATATTTCATTATTCATGATTCGATCTCTATCATAATAGTGCGTGAAATATAATGGCATTTTGTTTTAGCTATCCTTTGGAAGAAATAAAAATATCTTTTGCATGCACCATTGTTTCTGAATTCTCCTTACTAAAAAGTAATATGATAGAATGTAAAGGATGTAAATTAAAAAGAACGATATTCAGTTATATTATGACATATTTCTCATCATACATTAACAATATTCATTTATATTAATAATGATATTCATTTCATTATTAATATCCAATGCAATATTTTTAAGAACATTACTATGGTTCCAAAACTAAGCAAACATCATCAAATATTGATTATGGACAGTCCGCATTTATCAAATATTGATTATGGACTTTCTCTTACAAAGAAGAAATACTCCACAATAGCAATAAAGAGCAAAGCATAATACATAAGGGAAAGTTCCAGAGTTTCAAGTAGTGACATAGTACCCGTCCACGAATCTCTTTTGGAAGGAATGGTTCGGATGTATTGT